AAAGAGAAATAAGCCACTCAAAGTGAGGATAGGCGTCATCCAGAGGAGTTTAAAGTCAGCCCATATAAAGGAAAACTGCATAAATGACATGAAAAAACTTCAGTTTTTAGTCATCCAGAACCAGATACAGCAGATGTAGACCAGAAAATCACTCCACATTGTATAGCTCAGATCATGCAACACTTAAAAACCCAACCAAACCACTGAGTTGGGCTGTTTTGGGTTTTTTTTTTGTCTGAAACATAGCAAACAAATGACTAATCTCAGCAGACACCAGAGCTGTGCAGAAAGGATGGTCACACTGAATCTAATTTTAATGTCAAAGAGACTTGTGGGAATGAAACCACTCCAGTCATCCCACGGAGTGACACAAAGCTGACATCCACAGCATCCACAGCTGCTGTTGTCTATGATGGGAACTCCTGATCAAGGGGATAAGCATCAAACAGAATGTAACAATATATATAATGGAATAAGAAGACATAACTGCCACCCGCCCCTTAGCCATTCTAACATATATGCTGCAAAGCAGAGCAGGTAAGGGGCTGATTTCCAGCCAATTTCCCAGCGCCCATAATAACAGGCCACCTAGGCTTCATCCCATGACAGGGACCAAATAAGCATGCCAGTCTGGCCAGGATCTCAAAACCAACACAGGCAATGTAAAAAGCCTCAACTACTGTATTCAGGAGGTCGGAAATGGATGAGCTTTAACAATAAGCACAAACCAGTCTGGGATTCTATGAGTCTATGATCCAGTCTGAAACCTTACTCCACTGCAACAGGCTACACCACCAGCCTCATATGCAGGAGAGAGAGCTCTCCATCTCCTGCTCCAATAATCATGCTTAAGGGATGCAGATGCCTGGATAAACTGTCTCCCAGTGAGACCAAAGTAGTGTTCTTTGAAATCCCTCTCCCCTTGAAAAGGCTCTTTGCAGAAGACAAAACCCAAGAATAAAGGAACATCAGAGAGCTGAAGCTTAACTCTATGTCAGCCCTGCTTGTATGACAAGGGAACGATGTTTAATGTTTAAATCCTATAGGTCAGAGAGAAAAAGTGATAACTTACTCAGGGCAAGCCTTTTCCCAGGTTGGCTTTGTAACACCTGAAGTGTTCTACTGGCAATTCCTGCTCCATCTGAAATGAATGTCTCTTAGCAAGAAGCATGAAGCTTCGTAGGGCAGTGCTGGAGTCACCGTCCCCGCAAGTGGTCACACCCCGGGTAGATGAGGCCTCAGTGCTATGGGTTAGTCGTGGCCTTGGCACCGCTGGTTTTAATTCCTTTAATTCTAAAGCTTTAAAGAAAGAAAAGATACCTGTAAAACAGAAGCCCCACTGTGCAGAAACTGAAGTCCGCTTTCAGCAGAATCGATGCCTCCAGTTGCTAAGATGGGAAATCCGGGAAGAGCACGGGCTATGGCAGACACTGCGCGGAGGGCGATGGGCCTGATGGCATTTCCTATGGAAAACCAGAGCATGTTGTCAGCAGTATCAGAACACACCCGGATGTCATTTGCATGTCCCTCATGACAAGGAACATCAGGAGCTAACATCTAATTCTGAGATGCAGAGGATGTATTCATTTATAAATTGACACCAAGTGGGTTTCAAGTGCTATCAGTTCTTGTAAAGTATTATGAATTTGGCTGAAATACAGGAAATCACAGAAACATTTGGATAAACATTGCAAAGCTGGCTGGAACATTTTAGCTGATGCTCAAAACAAAGACTAACAATGTCTGAGACAGAAAGCTATACTTCACCATACAGTACACTGTAGACAGAGACCTGTGTTTCTACATAAAGAATCAGCCTGACTTTTTGAACACAGACGTTTGTCCAAGTCAGAGGGACCATCTCATTTATTTGTCTGACTAAAAGTTCTTTAAAACACCATTTCACTGCATTTGACATTTTATATATTATTTAATATGTTTCCCCTTTGGATGTTTGCAGATTCGCATAATCCTTCAAGTAAGACCCCTTTAGACAGAAGCTCAGAAGAATAAAGTATATTCATTTATAGTCCTATCTCCAAGACTAGAGCTTGTATTTTTAAATGGTATCTAGAGGTTGAGTCAGACAACTCCCTGCCTCATTCAGAGGAATGATGATTAAAGTCTCAATGCACTGTGTCTGCAATGCTTCTGCTTTGGCTACATCCTATTCATGGTATGCAAGTCTTTAAAATATGCATACAGATGCTGCTCATTCAGTGATGGAGGGAACAGACAGCTGACACTTCCACTGATTTTTTTGCTGAGGCTGGTTGGGATTTCTCTGGATAACTCCTGTGTTCTTAACACTTCGACTTCACTTGGAGAACCTTTAGGGAAATTTTACGTTATCACTGGACAATGCTACAGCAGTGTAAGGGAGGCACACATCACTCCCAGAGGAACTGGCTGGCTGTCAACCTACACAAAGAAGTGCTGGTACTTTTGGGTTTGTGCTATGTTAGGTAATTTGGGGAAATACCATGATATGAAATACTTCTGAACACCCTCCATGGGTATTTTCATAACCTTTAAAGCTTTGACCTTCTGCAAGAGCAAATAGCCAAAAGGGAAGATAGAAATAAAACCAATGCAAGGAACAAAACAAGAGGAAAGAAGAAACCACAGTTCGGAAGTGTGGGAAAAGAGCCCATGTGGAAGCAGTAGCTGCTGCATCACCACACCTCTGCTTAGATGCCTGACCAACATCCTCATCTCCTGCAGACAGAACTTCACCCCGAACAAACTGTGCTGCAGATCCTTCTCCACCCTTTCGGAGACAGCAGCACTGCAGTCTGCTGCCGGGGCTTTTAACAGAAGGAAGTCTTTTGTAAAGGACAGATTGCTTTTATCAGCATGTCCTGTGTCACTGAGCCCAGCACCAACCCTCCCTTTAGCGTCCCCATCAGTGATTTTCCACTACAGACAATTGAAATCTGGTTTGTCCTCACCATTAAAATCACCATGTGTTCAGCTCACATTGCCTTGTGCAACAAACCCCCCACTGTAACCCTGACAGACAGCACTGAATTCACAGGAGACCCTGTATTAAACAGTATTAAACTGGCCCAACAGTATTAAACACATTCACACCCAGAAGCTCAGCTAAGCAGCCTCTATTGACATTTGCTCTGGATTCGGCATGGAATCTTCTTGGGCAATGACAACCTCTGCTGCCCCGGGATAGGCACCTTCTCATTACATACTTACACCTCCTCCTTCTCCTATAGCTGATCTAGCAGAACCCAGAAGACTCACTATCTGATCAGAGATGTTCCTCCACTTGCCAGCAAGACCATACCAGATGTTCTCGCATGCCTGTGTTAGGGATCAGGACTGCTCAGAGGCTTTGCACAGATACTTCTTGTCTGTAGTTAACAGGAACTACACAGACGTACAATGTTTGCAGCATATAAACTTCCATTTGCATAAATAGGCAATGCATAAACTCACCCAAGGAAGTGGTGAATCCCTGGCAGTGTTCAAGGCCGGGTTGGACTAGTGTGAGCTGTCCCTGCCCATGGCAGAGGGTTGGAAGTAGATGATCTTCAGGTCCTTTCCAACACAACCATTTGAGGCTACAGGTAAGCACCAGACTTGCTATATTGCTTTTGGGCACTGACACAGCTACTCCAGAACCTCACTGTGATGAGGTTGTTATTCCTTAGAAAGGTGAAAGAATTCAGATGCTGGTAACTCTGAATTATGTGGCTAGAGGAAAACTTCTTTCCAGTCTGCATGAGTTAAAACCTGACATCTGCCTTAAGGCATGAAGGTTTATATTCTTCTAACCCCAATGCAACTCTAAGAGGTTGCACTCCATCAGTTTTTAAGCCTTAAAGACCCTTGACCTTAATGGTATCTCCTAGCAGAGTTCCACAAGATAGTATTTCCAGCATATAACTATTCCTTTCTTCACTGTGATTAAATTAGCCACCTTCTCACTTAAATGACTATCTCTGTACAATGGTCAGTAGAGGAAAAGAAGCAAATTACAGTTTATTTAAGGTTTCAGCACAATAAGTAATCAGAAAGGCCTTCGTTCAGACCAAAGAAACCAAGCATATGATTTGATGAAGCCTAGCAGAGATGGCAACGAGGCTTAGAGTTTATTATGGAACACAGGTAATTTTTAGTACTGGCTGCACTTGATAGTCATAATATGAGTTATTACTTACGTTTGGTGATCAGTGAATGAGTGATAAATGGGTACAATGGCAAAAGTATTCTATTCATCTATAACTCCCTCAAATGAGTTTAAAAACATTTCAGGAGTGCTCCTGATGAGAGTAAATAAATGACTCTAATGACAATCAGAGGGTTGACTGAGGTGTCACTGTCTTCTTTGGTCTGCAGAATACAGAACAAGTACATCAGAAGGTGCAGCCGTTCTCCCGTGCGCTTCTTGATCAACAGTTCAGAAGCTTCCCCTTTTGTAAGAAAAGCTTCAGGTCTGGAATACAATGTGATTTCCTTGTGATAGAGATCCTACTGCCTAATGAAATGGTGACACAAGCATCCAGATTAACCCAAAATAAAAGACAGAATACAACAAACAGGAAGGTAACGAATTCCGATATGGGTATTTATAGAGAAGGAGTTTTTAGAAGGTTGAAATAAAGGAGATTTAATGAAGAGCTGTAAGTAGTAATGGAAAAATGCAGAATTCTGCCTGATAAATCAAACGGTATTTAAGAAGCTCGAGGTCCAAATCCAGCACGCATTTGAAGGACAGCTCACATGCTAAGAAAACAAGCATCTTCTACATACTTTGATGTGTTGGGACCTGTAATTCCAGTAGTTAAGCACCCGTAGCTGGGAAACTGCTGATACGGTACTCTCTTGATAGTAGCATTACAGCTGCTACCAGATGCTTGATATGGCTATCATTTACCTTGCTGTAAAAGAATGAGATTTAATAAACAAAGTCCATGTATCCAGACCTCACGCAAGGGAGTGAGATTTGAAAATGAAAGACAGAGAAATACCTGGTGGAGATGAGACGTTACTCTGTGTTGCAAACTACCCTTTCAAATCTCTCATTAATTATGGAACAAATGCTTGCTACTAAATAGAGTTTTCAACAATTAAATAAGTGTCCGATGCCAAAGTCCCTGATCTTCTTCTTGCCTTAAACCAAAGAATTTTGGTTTTCTTTTTTTTTTAAGTCAGGTTTTTTGTGACTCTCAGGGACCGCAGCCAAGGAAATCCAATAGGCAAAACAAAGCATGAAGGAGAAGCAGAACATATGTTCATCAAACGCTCTGATCGGCGGAGGTGGGCAGAGCTGCCCTTGTCCTCTGAGGACTGCGGGCTGATGGAAAACTGGTGAGAGGCATTACATCTACTTAGGAATTAAAAAAACCTCTACCAGTGCCAGAAAACACATGTTTTATTGTGACTTCAACACCAAAAATGTTCACCAGGTTGAGGACGGAGACTCCTGGTGTTAAGCTTCAGGCAGCCCAGTAGCTTTGGAAGTTCCCAGCAGAAACAATCCAGATCTTCTTGATCCGAGCCTCAAGTCTAAGAAGCTTTGAATGCTGGGCTACATTCTTACTTGAACATAATGCACTAATGTGGTAGTTTAAAGTCTTCCACGCATATTTGCAGCAGCTCTAAATGGACCTTTAGGTAAAGATGATCCAGATCCATTAGAAACCAGCCAGTGGAACTGAGGTGAATCAATACACACTGACGATACTGAGTCTGAACCTTGAAAGAGTCTGAATGGTCTTTATCAAACTTGCTATCAATAAAAGCAGCAGATTTAAAAGGGAAACTCTCATATCTTTGGTTAGTAGATGAGTTAAAAGCAAATTTTTGTATCTATGGTTACTAGATGGAATAAAAATGAATTTGGGTCATAATTCTCCCCATTCTGTGTGTTGTAAAGCAAAAGGAATTCTTAATTTGCGTTATATTATATTACACTTCAGTTCTTTACAAATTAAATATCAGATTTGCAACAGTCTAAATATTACAAGGAAAAATTGGCTGATATATTATTTTTGATTAATACATTCCGGATACAGTCTGTTCTGCTGAAAAAAAGGAACCCTCAAAATCTTCCTCCCTCTGTAAATCCATTCCTGAAAGAGCACTGACATTCCCATCTTCCTAAAGGTTCAAATCAATAAACCTAATGACAAAAGAAGTTTGGGGTGAAAAAGCATTGCAGAAGGCAGTTGGCCTAGGGAAGTTGAGGTGTTGGAGATGATTAATGCAATGCTGCAGGAAGGAACCAGGTAAGAAAGTTTGCGGATTAAGGAAAAAACCCATGGAAAACAATCCTATATTAAGGAATGTTCTGCATCATGTATATGCTGCCTAGTTCTGGTGATCAAAGTGTTTTGTATAAATATATATGCATAATCTACATCTGTAAACAGTCCAGAGAAACGTGCTGTACACACAATTCTATCTTATACATGTATATTGTTATACACCATTCATTCGCATC